GATGGCCACCAGCTGCGGTACCAGGGCATCCCGCTCTCCTTCACCCCCGGCTCCGTGCCCGCCACCTCCGGCACAGACTACCAGCATGCTGCTGCCTACCCTGGCCCAGCCGGCCACTTCGTGGCACATGGTCAAACGCACCGGCCCAATGGCAGCAGTGTGAACCCCGAGCCGGGTTCTTCGCGCCTGGTGTCGCGTGGTCCCGACACTCCACAGCCCCTTTTTCTGGAGGATGCCGGGCATCCAGAGGGCTCTGTCCCGGCAAAGGTGAAGCTGCCCTGCCAGACTCTCGACCCGCAGCCGGAGCATGGGCCATCTGTGGCTGAGCTGAAGCTGGAGGCACTGACCCAGCGCCTGGAGCAGGAGATGGATGCTCGGCCCAAGGCCGATTACTTTGGTAAGAGGTGGTCTGCCACAAAAAAAGGGCTCATTGTGAAGCCTCGTGCGTGCCTATATGCCTTTGGGGTTGCTTGAGTGGTTTTCTTTTGTTGTTTAACTTTTATTTGTTATAGGATTGGGGGTTCTTCCTCCCCGTGTCACTTTTTTCTTTAACCCTACCTCTTTTTAAAGCAAAGATGGTTTAACAGCAGTGAGGAAAGCAGCACTGAGAAAAGAAGCTGGAAGCAACATCTTTTGAATTGCCTTTCGTTCCCGGCACGCAGCTTAACTTTTCTTGGCAGCATTCCTGGTTCTCGGCTGTCCTGCCTGCAGAGGCGCCGCACCTGCAGGCGTGGAGAACAGCATTGAGCTTAGAGGGATGTCTTGGTGGTACTCCCCGGGAAGGTGATCACGGCTGGGTGTGCTCCTAGGATCTCTTAAAGAGAAGATGCTTGAGGATGGGAAGGGTGGGGGTTTCCCAAACTTGGACAGGATTTCCCCTCCTGCCCTCAGGTGCTGGTCCCCATCATCTGCGAAAGGATCTCTGCATCCTGAGGATGGCAGAAAAACAGGATTTAGGCACATCCCTCCCTAAATCTTGGATCTGTAAATAGTCTGGACCACCGCCGCTGGTGCGAAGGGACTGCTTGCACACGAGGAACCCCCAAGGAGAATATTAAATGCCCTGCCGGATTAAACCAATTTAGTACTCCAGCGTGGCAGAAGGTCAGGGGCAAATCGGGCGTTTCCTTTCCCCACCGCGCCGCTTTGCAATTCGATAGCGGATGAGATAGTCTGACTTTTTGGGAGGCGGAAACCTGAGGTTGCTGGGAAGAGGCTGAGAACTCCACAGTTCATTTAAGGAATCAATTTTAGCCCCTGCGGTCATGGAAAGAGAAGCAGGGACAGCTTGAACTGTTCAGCCCAGCGCAGAGGAAAGGTGCTGTCCGGAGGGGCCATGAGGTTTGAATGAGCTTGGGGACCCTCATCTGGGGGGGTGGGCTGAATGCCGTGACAAGGGGCTAGGACAACCGTCTTGTGGGATGCGGTGCTCAAAAATTGGATTATTTTGCTGGGAGGAGTAATTCTAGCAGTGTGGAGAGCCCGGCTGCTCAGGTGGACTGAGTTATTGTGAGCCCTGGGAGGGAGGAGACCCTGGTGAGGTGTCTGTGTTTCCTCCCAGCAGGAAGTTTTACAACAGCATGTAGCATCTGAGCAATTTGGAAAGGAGGAGAGGGAGAGGGAAGAATGGTGCAGACATGGCAGAGGAAGGAGCAAAGTTTTGTGCAGCCTCAGCTCTGCTGGTGAAGGCTCAGCTGATCTGCCCTGTGGAGGACCAGGGAGCAGGAAGTGGCAAGTACAAAAGTGTTGTAATTGTGGGCCTCCTCCTCCTTTCTTTTTCACTTTTATTTTCATTTTTTCACCGTTGCTATACTTCCTTTGGAGGAATAAAGGACCCAGCCAGTCTTCTGAATCTGTCTTTGCTATGCCCTGCCCTCGAGCTATCTAGGATGGAAAATAAATACTTTTATGCAACAGTGATAAAAAGGATGACCGGTTTTTTTGTTGCAGGCTTTCCCCCAGCGACGGGAAGTCTAATACAGCAGGTTTGCAGTGCATCAGAGCCAGGAAATGAAACCAGGGCTGAAGCACAAATGACCAGTGTATTTTATCTAAAATGCTTTCAGCTCTCCAAATTTGGGGTTCTACTTTTGTAACTAAGGGGATTTTTAATTTTTATTTTTTAATATGGGTCTGTCTGTCTTGTTAACGTGCAATCTATCTTGCTCTAGATCAGGTGCTTACTGTGAACACTTAATTCTGGTCACAGTAAAGGAGCTGTTTCTTCCTTCACTATGTGAAAGTGAGTGCAAATGAACGCCTCTAAAAGGATAAGCTAGGGATTAGGCATAACACAGGTAGGATGCTCTGTCAGCACCAGCTTGCTGTACAAAATAATTCTGTCTGCTCAGAGTGAAAGGAGAGAAGCAAACAAAGCCAAGAATTCTTTTTTTTTTTTTTTTAAATCTAGTGGCCTATGTTTGAGCAGCATGGGCCACACGTGTCTCTGGGAGGAATCTGAGTTCTCCAAGAGTGCTTTTGAAGTGCTGACTTGATTAATGTGGGCTGTGGAGGAGGATGTAGGGAGTCTCGGGTATCAGCTGAGACTTAAGCTTGGGAAGGGAAATCCTGAAATCTCTCCCTGGGGTGACTGGTTCCACAGCAGCAGAGCGGAACCCATGTCCCTGGAAATCAGTCTGGGTTGTCTTCAGGGTTTTGGTGTAGGTTCAGTTGTGTGGTTTTGTTGTACACTTTCCAGGGGACATCCAGGAGTGAGGTGTGTGAATCCCACCAGTTTTCTGTTGTGCTCCTTTGGATGCCAAGCCTTCGTGTTCACTTGGCAAACAGCAAGGTTAATTAAATAGAAGTGGATGGAAGGGCTGGAGCTCCTCTGCTGGCGTGACCCAGCACAATGTGGGCATTTCAGGGGTCAGCAGGGAGGTTTTACTACGCCTATGGTACCATGCAGTTCCTTGGTCTGCAGGTACCTTTTAGAGGGTGGGTTTAGAGGTGTAACTTTGTGTACAAAGGTGTAGCATTGTGTTTTTACCAGGGCTTATTTTGCGTAGCTAGATGGAAATCTTCATCTGATGAAGACTATGTACCCACTTACTTAGAGCTTTTTTAAGAATGATTGTTATAAATATGTTTCAGCTGTTGAGTTCTGGCTCCCCTCGTATTTAGAGTAGAGCTAATAAGCTGCAGGTGTTTTAGGAGGGCTCCAGGCATCTTGTTTTGCAGTGATGTCTTCCAGTAGTCAGGCAGAGAAGGTCTCGTAGTGAAGGCTGCAGATTTCTTTTCCCCTTGCTAGAAGCAGAGCAGTAGCTGAATCACTGAACCCCGTGGAGACCTGGAACCCTGGTGTTTTGGGATGGCTGCGACCAGCTTGAAGGCCAGCAGCAGTCTTTTGAAGTCTTCTGGTGGATCAATGAGAGCTGGAAGCATCACAGCATGTGGATTGGTGGATGTGTGCAGGTTGCAAACCTCATCTCACTGCAAGGAACCAAGCAAATAAGTATTTGCCTGGGATATGACTCCTGATTACAGCAGGATGCCCTTCTCCTCCCTTCCTATTGGGAGCTCAACTGAGTTTGCAAGCTAAGGAGGAACCTACCAAAAGGAAAGAAAGAGGAAGGAGTCAAGGCAGAGGAGCAAGGATACTGTGGCAGCAAGGACTGAAAGGAATACGGAACCTCATGCACGTGGCACTGGAGTCAAAATAAGCTCTGACGTTGCTACAAGGAACTTAAAATGTCACTGACTTGAGTTTGGTGGCAGTTTTGTACTTGGCTGGCAGTCACACAATGGTCTGCAGCAAAGTCGGGGGTCAAGAATGTGGCACATAAAAACCGTCCCATTGCCCTTCCAAAATTAAGCGATGATCTTGGCAAATGCAACCAGGAGCGCACTGTGGGGAAGTCTGGCTGTCCTGGATTCTGCTGAGGAGGGGGCTGCTGCTGGAAAAAAACCACAACTGTGTTCTTGGTTTGTAGATAGATGGTGTCTGGTGTGTGGAAATAAATTATACTGACCAAACGCTGCTGTTCAGCATGGTTTGCATTGAATTTTTAGTGAGTGTGGCATAGTAAGTAACTGAGCTCCTTCTGGTGAGCATGACATATCAACACTTAGAGAAAAAAACATCTTTGGAGGCTTTCAGTCAGGTAGTAAATGGAACGGCGCTTGTTGAACTAGGTCATTTCAGACCGAACACTGACTTTGCTTTCGTTTCTGACAGTCCTGGAGGTCTGCACTGGAGCTGTTTGATCTCACGAGCTGAGGCCGTTCCCTCCCTCGGGTGCGCGGTGCCGAGGTGGAGCGCGGCGAGAGCCAGGACGCGGTTTTGTAGGGAATGTTTTTCGGTCCCAGCTCTGCCCCAAAGGTCCCTTTGTTCAGGCGCTGAGCTGCGGCGCGGGCAGTTGCTTGCCGCATGATGTGAGAGAGAACAGAGATTTCTTTGTTGTCCGAGGCCTGGTTGCTCTGCCGGCAAAAATTGAGCCGAAATCAGCAATTTCCATCCCTTTTCCCATTTCAAATGTGGCTACCGTTCTGTCAATGTGCTCAAGCGTGAATTTCCGGGCGCTGCGTGTGTGCGGTGCTTCAGGGCTTGTCATCCTGGTGGCAAAAGAAAAAAACTCTCTCCTTAATAACGTCGTCTGAGGTTAAAAGCTGTCGTTTCAGAGCAGATATCTGTTCAGATCAGCCCTGGCTTAAGCCCTCCTTACGTGCGGCAAAGTAACTGAGTGCAGGAATTGGGCATCTTGCCAAGCCGTGGCTACTCGGGATCCCTCTGCTTCGAGCTGAGGACAGAAGTTGTTGTGGTTTTTTTTCGCTAAGAGCTGCTCAATGCCAAGAAAATTACCCGGAGCTGCTGACTAATGTCAGCGGCGTGCAGGGCTGGCCCAATGCTGCTGACATTTTAACTTTATGCCTTGGCTAGCAGAAAGCAGGCTGAGCACTGTGTAGGGCAATTGCCATCAGAACTTGTATGGAGCAGAGCAAAAGAAGAAAGGAAGTGGAAAGGAAAAAAATCAATAAAATCACATTTTCTCCCACTTTCGGGCCAGGTGTGCTGAGAGTCACGAGATGAAGGCTCAAGTGTGTTGCTTAAAGTGATTTAGAATATTATATTTGGAAGAAGCAAAGACTTAGTCTAGAAGCACAGTGAATGTATAGAAAAGAGGATTTGAGCAGCAAAATCGGTGATTTTTCAGCTCTCAAAACCGTCTGCTCGGCATTGCTGTAGTTCAGAAGAAATTTTTTTTTTCATTGGTTTGGTTTTGTTTTTTTGTAATGCCTGCATGATTTGTCTTTTGCTTTCTTAAAAAGTTTCTTCCACTAAACAAGATTAATCTGCTTGGTTCAAAAAGAACCAGCAAGTTCTGCTAACTTGGTGCCAGTTTGCGTGCTGGGGTGGGCCCACAGCCAAGCTGGCGTTTCAATCCAAGTTGAATTTGGACAAAACTGAGTAACTAATTATTCTCTGCAGCCTTCTCTCCAGGTTTGTGTCAGTTTTGTCTCCGTCTGGGTCTGGGTTTTGTTAACTCTGGGTTTTGTTAACTCTGGGTTTTGTTAACTGCAGCGTAACCCAAGATCTCCAGCAACATGATCTTGTCCCTCTCCTTGGGAGAAACCTGGAGGTAAAGTCACATCCCCAGGGTTGTCACAGACCAGAGACAGGAGAGTGTCTTCTGGTTATCCTTTATGCTGCCTGTTTGGAGCGTTTATTGCTTCAACATGGATTGAAGTCGCTCATTTAGAAGTAGGGCCATACTGCTTTCAAACTGATCAGTCACAATCACAGGGTAGTGCCTGAGGTAAATAAACTGCCTTGGTGTGTCATTTTCCTTGGGCAAGGACTTTCTCTGCACAGGTTTCTCTGGAAGTTTGATGACCATCATGACCACTGCTAACAGCAGCTCTCGGGGCAGGTGACACCGATGTAACCTGCATCTTGTGGCTTCTATGAACCGAATTTCACACAGTTGGGTCCCTCTTCTGACGTTCATCTCCTCCTTTCTCCTCCAGGCACCTGCGTGAAGTGCAGCAAGGGGGTGTACGGAGCCAGCCAGGCTTGCCAGGCTATGGGCAACCTCTACCACGACAGCTGCTTCACCTGCGGAGCCTGCAGTGAGTAACCCCTGCGCACTTTACTTTTACTTGCCGAGAGCATTTTGCCTTTCCAAGGAATCTCTTCCCAAAGTGTCTGAGCCCACCTCATTTCAAATGGTGCCTGTGTTTGTAAGACAGTGGGTTTTTCTGCTGTTTTTAGAAATGTAGCTGTATATGTGGTGGCAGCAAAAATAATAATAAAAATCCTTCTGATTCTTTTCAGTATACAAGTTTAGTTTTCCCAGATGGGCCTTAGGACTTTTCTCCCGTGCTGTATTTAGAGCTGTAAACTCATCAGGACCGCGTGTGTTTTATTTGGAGCTGGAAAGTGGGCATAAATATAGAAAGATGTGTATGCTTTTTAATAATAGCTGAACCTTGAACTCTGCTCGTTTCCCATCTGTCTGACACCAACTGCCTGGCCTCACCTATGTTTTCAGTAGAGCATTTTCACTGTCATCTGACCGAAGACAGGAAAACTGAAAGGAACAAGTGGTATTTGCATGTGGTAGCAGTTTCCTAAAGGCTCAGAAGTCATCAGCCCACTCTTTTGTCCTCTCTTATGAAGTAATTAGAAATCTTCTCTCGCAGGGAGGGAACGTGGTGGCTGCAGCCGGTGCTTTGCTTCAGGAACCGTTTGCCCTCTGGGGATGGGCATCCTCTGAACTGCCCTTGCTCACAAAGCTCCTATTAAAAGTAATCCGGCACCAGGTTCGAGCTGTCTTAAATTTCTAAAATTACTACTGTGAAACTGGTGCTTTAGAAAGACACACTCCTTTTGGAGTGGATTTTACTGTCTTTATTTGGAGACCAGTGCTAGAGAGGTGCTTGCAGTTGTAGAGGTATCAGTGATTGCTTCCAAGTATGTACTCGGTTAAAAAATACCTTAACCCTGTTTCTAGTGAAGTGGGTTGGTGAGGGCTGAAAGAATAGCTGTTTGCTGCTTATTCTAGAAGGAAAGTTGTGGGAGCATGAGCGAGAGCCTAATTTGTCTTGTTAACATGCAAGGGAGTAGTTGCTTTTGAAAGCTCGATTGCCCAGAGAGAGCTCCTGCCTCCCTGCAGGCCTTTTCTCATCTAAATGTGATGAGACTGTTTCATCTGCCGGAAAAAATAAATAGTTGTTTGGACAGTGTTGACCTGCAGAGCACGTCTTGAGCAACCTAGGTAGAAGCTCTCGTTTCTAGCTGAAAAGTAAGAGGTGCTTTTAAGGTCAAGTGGAGTTCACCCTGGAGAACGTCCAGTACAAACTTGTCTTTGGGGAGGAGTCCAGGTTGCTCATGATTTCAATCCGAAAATTTTTCCTCTGGTGGAACACCAAATACCTCCGATAAATAAAATATACAAAATTACCTATTAAGGTAAAGCATATTGTCCTCTGGATATTTATATCTGCTGTCCTGCTGTTTTTCATTTTAAGGAGGATTTCTAATTTTGTTTGTAGTTGGATTTGTGTCCAAGTGTTCACTGGTTTCTCAGATATAGAAAAATGAGGGGGTCTAAGGAGGGAGGGGGTGATACCTCATGTCGCCAAACTTCCTATACCCTCTGTTTCCTGATATATGTATGTTCAAAGATAAGTGACAGAGCAGTTTGTTGAGTAGAGTTATGCTTACAATACAGGGTTCAGTTTTCAGGGGGAAAAAAAAGCGCACTGTTTTTTCTAAGCCACTGGCATGTAATGCAGAAAATTTGGTTTAGAGGTCAAAACAACAGATTTAGAATGATTACTTTGGCATAAACATCTCATTTATCTTCTTGTTTGTTATAGGGCAGAGACACAAACAGGGCAGATGTTTGCAGAGGGGGAGAGGAAAAAACTTCAGGTTCCTTATGCAGAATTAGTGATAGATTATATTTGCTTTACAGGAGGGCCATGAAAGTAGGTTAAAAAAAAAAAAAAAAAGCCCGCAAAACTCATACAGCTATTTCCTGCAAGCTCAAGGTGTCTTGTTTCCGTCTTGGGTTTGGTGGTTTTTTGTATTTTGATTTTTTTCAGTTTGTTGGATAAAGAGTTGTAGTTATCAAATAGTTTGTTACATTTTAACCATTTTAAATTAAATCACTAGTTTATTCAGAACACAAAAGATGCAGGTGTTTCTGGATCTGGATTTACTATTTCAGTAGTAAGGAAACCTTATAAATGATACAGTTTTAGCTGAACAGTATCACTCTCACCTCTCATGGTGTTCTAGTGGTTTCTCTAGGGTCAAGCCAAGTTTATATCCACAGGTGGGCTGGAAAGCAGACCTTTGTAGCTCTGCTAGCAGCGTGATTTAGAGTACAAGGGTCTCGCACTTGAGCCATTTAGTCCTCAGAGGAAATCTGAAAGCTAAAAAAGTCCAAGGGAAGCATCGGAGATGGCTGTGGAGGAAATTGGCAGGCACGGAAGGAAGTCAGGAAGAAAGAACTGATTGCAAGGTGGTTAGAAGGAGAGTTCGATGTTGAGCTGCAGCAGAAGGGCCGAAATGAGGAGCAGATTTCGGGCCCTTTATTACATGAAAGTCTCGAATGTTTGCCGGATTACAGAATTCACCATTACTTTCTTTTTCTTTTTAATGTTGATATCTGCATAAGGGTAACAAGCTGCCGTCCCAGAAACCTGCAAATCCTCAAAGTGGAGAGCACAAAGTATTGCTGGTAATCTTCCTCAGCGTTCCTTGAATAAAGTTACCATGCCAGAGTCTGCCTAGTGAACAATATATATATGTATTTTACTTTTTTTTTAGCAAAAGTAATGTCTGAGAAGATTTCAGTGTGCCTGGCTTTACAGATTGGGAGACAGGGAAGGTGTCAGCGCGTGTTTCTGCTCCAGTCTAAGTTCCCGCTTTGTTCTTGCTGACTTTTTGCCTTCAGTCTCTCAGTTCACTGGTGAGAAATCCCCACTGTTTGGCACCAGAAGTGTGATGAGAAATGCCAGGACAGCTTTCATGGTGATGACAATGCTTTCGTGGTGATGAGGGTACTTTCACGGATGACAGTGCTTGTGCCTCTCCTAGCCAGGTTTCAGGCAGTGGAGCTTTGGGGTCTGAGCCCAAGGGGCATTGGCACAGATATCTGCGCTGGGAAGATGTGGTTGGGGCTTTATCAACACTCTCGTGTTTATGTGATGGTTGCATGTGTCTTAGTGCTGGCTGAGATTCTGAAAATCATTAGGACAATGTGAGAAAGAATGTTGAAACCTTTAGTGGGATATACTTTGTCTTTTTGCCTTTCTTATTTATAACTTCATCTTCAAAGTAGTGGGTTTTGTTAAGAACAGGCATAGGATTAATTGTGCTGTAAAGGTTTTAGGAGGATTCTTATATTTTAATGGTACCTAAGTAATTTTCTGAGTGTTGGCTCAGTAAGCACTGAGGCCTCTACCCAGAGAAATTTAAAAATTACTCTCTTGTATAGTTTTGATGCAGTTATGTTCACCGAAGATGCAGAGATTGCTGCCCCCTCCTTCTTTCTGCTTCATCCCAGGGTGACCTTTAGCTTACCTCTGAAATTTGAAGCTTCTAGGGGTTTTCCTTGAAAAGAAAGACATTTGAATATCTTCTTGCAATGGTTTGCTATCAGCCAAGGCGAGGTGCTCCTCAATTGTGTGGCTTACCATGATTTCTCAATGTTTCCCTCTGAGGAGCTGTTTCTGCCTTCACCTGCGGTCGCTTTGCCTTTAGAGACAGGACCTTTACTTACGTGTGCCAAAGGGTGCTGGTTTGGGCTTTTAGGCCTCAGATCTTTTTCTCAGAGGAATGCCACCAGCCAAATTATAAATCCTCTTTTTAAAAAGGGATAAGTCTCTCCGCTGAATGACTGTGCAGCGTAAGTCCAGGCGCAGCGTGCCCACTGTGGCACCTTCTCTTCCAGATCTGTTGCCATCAATCCTGACCTAATGTTGCGGGAGTTAAAAATGCACTGAGTGTGGAACGGTTAGTAAATGCTTTTATTTATTTTTATTTTTCTGTCATGGTGGAAAAAGGACGTGGTGGCAGTGATCCAAACTTTGTCCCAATGCTGTATTTAACTCGGAAGGAGATTTTGGGGCGCACTTCTCGCTGCATTAGGCTTGTTGTTAACTCGCGTAGGACTACCATTGATGTGAGTGCTGCAAATTCCCAGGTGTCCCTGTGCTTCTCCTTCCTCTCCTCAGAAACTGGAACTCTGCAACTTATTGTACAAATATGCACCCTGGGGGATGGACCACAAAGCTCACTTTTTATTTTGGGCTCCAGGTCCTGTTCTGGTGTCGGCAACCTTGCCAAACCATTCCCAGGAGTTGTTTCCCAGACTGAGAGTGCCCTCTGGGGTATGCAGGAGACAGTAAAGATTAGTAGTTTTATTGAAGTGGTTTTACTTGGCTTCTTCCTTTTCTTAAAGCCTTGCAGCCAGCATGATTATTGACTGAGGGCTGCCAGGTAGGTGCATGCCTTAAAGCACCAAGGTGTGACTTCCAGACCTGTCCTGTGCATCGTCCCCATTTATGCACCTAGCAGCCAATAAATCACTTTTTTAAGGATATTTGACATCAAGCAGGAGGCTGCTGGGCGCTGGTGTCTCAGTTCTGATGTCCTTCCAGCAATGCCTGGCATGTTCCCAGCCCGACCTGCAGCAGGTCCTGCCTCCCGGCACATCCTTGGGGCTCCTAGACTGAGCTAAGGCTGCATTTCAAACCCCAGGGAGCAGGCAAACCAGGCTGCAAAGAGGTAGAAGCAGCTTTTTATGAACAAAGACAACCCAGCCTTTTTCTCCCGGGTGAAGGCAGAAGTGGTGGCAGCATGAACACGCACTGCTATAGTTACGTGGGAACTGAAAGCAGGCAGTGAATGCGAGACGTAAACAAAAAAGCTGTGGTAAATATAAACCTTCCCCATATGTAGAGTCCTTTTTTGGAAGAACTTTATCATCTCCCTCTACTCTCTCTTGCCGGGTTATTTTGTGTTGCAATGTGCCAGGAGGTGGTCCAGGCTTGCAGAGCTACCTTCTCCTGCCAGGATCCAGTGACTGGTGTTCATCAGTGACATTTTTCTCTCTGCTGACCTTTTTCTTCTCTCAGTGATTTTCTTATTATTTGTTTTTCTTTTTCCTCAGGTCGAAAGCTGAGAGGAAAAGCCTTTTACTTTGTCAATGGCAAAGTGTTCTGTGAAGAAGACTTCCTGGTAAGCATGTGGCTGACCCTTGTGCTGGCCTCACGTCTCAGCCTCCCCGGCAGAGATGCAGCCTTTCACCAGCTTTCCAAGCCTACATATGCAGATATTGTGATATAAATATGTGATAAACTCAAGTTCCTGACTTTTAGATTCAAGTGGTCAAATAAGCATCTAGGTCTTATTAGAAAATTTCTACCTTGCTTGTGCATTTGTGGTGTTTGCTTATACACTTCATGAAACTTAAATTTAAGCCTTGAGAGTTACAGGAACTAGTGTTCCTTGTGAATGCTGGAAGTCTTGTGTCCGTATAGAATATCCTCTGGGGACCCATCCACAGCTTGATATACTGGGGGGGGAAAAAAAAGGCACCAGGAAGTTTAGCTTGTGTAAGGAGTAGAGAAAAAGGCCAAGCAAATAACACCCCCCAGTTGTTTATGCTCAACTAGCCTTGTGAAATTTTAAGCCAATTCTTTTTTGTCTTTGCAGTACTCTGGTTTCCAGCAGTCAGCTGACAGGTGTTTCATTTGTGGTCATTTGATAATGGACATGGTAAGTGATATAATTGCTTTAGGGGGGGGAAAAAGCCACCACAGCTTTTTTAGAAGAACGTGTTGAAAGCAAAATGTATTTGTATCCTGTCCTGTCTGCTGTCATCGGGTGGTCTGCCCGGTGTGGGTTTGGGTTTAACACAGTTTCTATAGTCTGTACTAATTAGAAAGCTGGACTAGCGAGTACAAGCTCTTTGATATCCAAGGAATTGTGAAAACCTAGCAGTAGTATTTGTTTCAGCCTCTCGTGGAGAATATAAAGGTGTATTTCCTCTTGTTAGCCTGGTACGTCTTGCATTGTGATCCTGCTCAGTATTCTTTACCTGCTGGCTTCAGAAATTATTTTTTTTCCTTTAAATTCTGTCACTTCTATTCTTTGTAATGCTAAATACCTTGACTGAGACTCTAAATTGTTTTCTTACCTATGCCACTAATTCATTTCTCTGGAACCAGGTGGTATATATTAATTCCAGCTGCCCTCTCCATCCCTCTTAACTCATTTTTTTCCTCATTGTGCCTGAAAAAAGACCCAGCCTTGCTGATGCACGTGTATCACTGTCTGGTGTAAAGCTTGGTGTTTATTATTTTCACCTTTATTAGCTTTTCACATGTATTTTTTTCCTGTCACTTGGTGTGTTGCAGATTCTGCAGGCTCTGGGGAAATCCTACCATCCAGGCTGCTTCCGATGCGTGGTCTGCAACGAGTGCCTGGACGGCGTCCCGTTCACTGTAGATGCTGAAAACAAAATCTACTGTGTCAGAGACTACCACAAGTGAGGACAAAATAAACAGCAGAGATGCTCCCCGATCAACAAGCATCAAGCTTAGCTTTTCAGCGAAGTTGAGAAGCGTGGATTAGTAAAGCAGGGGTAGGGTTAGACGCTAGAAGTTCGAGGCTGGGACTAGACCACAGGAATTCCCGATGTCTCTCCTCTTGCTCTGCTGCTGATCTCTGTGTGACTCTGAGGAAGTCGCTCAACCCCTGGGCTTCAGCTGCCCATTCTGCAAAGCAGAGAGAGTGAGAAACGGTGCTCGTCAAGTGTTCAGGGATGTGAGACATGAGCCCACTCTAAAGTAAGACTGTGAATACCTGTGGAAACCACTGTGAGTTATGTTTTGAGTAGCTGAAGGGCTGAGTTTGGCTTCTAAAGAATCACCACAGCAAAGCAAAACTGTTACCCAGCTCTACATTAAACATTAAAAAAAATTCACTTACTGTTTAGACAGTAAAATAAAATCGCTGTGCTTTTAGCTGGCAGTTATGATATTGGAGCTTTTGAGTGTCCTTTTGGTTTGCTTTGCTCCTTGCTCCATTTTCTGAGCAGGCAGAATATTAAGAGTTGCTCAGGCAGCCCCTGGAACTGTCCTGTGTTGTACCAAGATCAGAGTTGCCTCCATGTGTTCTGAAATGATGCATATTTCTTTGCTGTTTAACTTAATGATTTATTTATTGTGTCATGTTACATTGTAAGGCCTTAAGGAACTGGACAGTATTTTCTCTTGAGGTTTCCAGCCTCGAGGCTGCCTTTTCTTATTATCTGTTTTTCTGGGGACAGTCCTTCTCATTTTCTCCTCCTTCTCTCTTCCAAATCTCTCAGCAGCAGCGAAGAATTTTACAGTGGGTTTGTGGGTTGTTTTTTTTTCTAGAACTAAGTGTGAAACATGAGATCTCTTTTTGCCTGACTGCACAACCTGCACCAAGCATTAATCACAGTTGATGCTAAAATGAATTTATGATCTTGGGATGAAAAGCCTTCCTGTCAATAAGTTATTTACATCTGCATTTTTTTCATCTTATCACTGAGAACATCCAGGCCTCTCTTTTTATGTTGATCTATAACTTGTCTTCAATTTCTCATTGCTTTTCCAGAGTTTTAGCTCCGAAGTGTGCAGCGTGTGGACTTCCCATTCTGCCCTCCGAGGTGAGAGCCTTTTATTCCATTCTGCCTCATTCTGGCTTAGGTCTTGCTGCCTTTCACTGTGACACCTCATTTTACTACTTTGAGGAGATAGGTCTCAGGATGCTGAGAAATGTGATATGTTGACATTACCAGCTCATCAGTGTGTGGTCTGAGCTAGATGTGGCTGTTAAACACAGAGAATTTTACATGTCTGACGTTACATTTTAGAGGATATCTGCAGTCAGCCACCAATGAAACTTTACTGTAAAAGTAACTGCAGGTGGCAGGTTTTATTTGTGGTGTCCAACATGCAGCCCAAATGTGTTACTTCAACATTCATGTTGTTGTAGGAAGCAGTCTATAGAGCGTGTGTCTGATCCTTCGTAATTTCACTTTTGCTTTAATGCTCACAGGGGTCTGATGAGACCATTCGGGTTGTGTCCATGGACAAGGATTACCACGTGGAATGTTACCACTGTGAGGTGGGTCAGCAGCTTGTTCAGGGCACTTAATAGTGATAACTACTATTATTTTTAAGGTGATAGATTATTTGTTAATGAAGGAAACACGGTGGCTTTGTAAGGTTCTACTGCTGCCTCTCTGAAGCCTTGAGCACCAGATCACATCAGCGTATCTGATTTCCAAGTCAGATTGTTCAAAAATGCTAAGGTGATGCCTGATCCTCTGCAGTGTAAGTTACCTTCCCTCTCACAGGAACTCATTGTGTTCTTGGGGCTGGAGAAAGGATACAGCTACACAAAAAAAATCCCAAGAGATGCCAGCTCTTAAACATGGTTCGCTCTCTGTAAAGGGGCTTCCCAGAGAGCCCTCGTACTTCTGTGTGGTGAATTAAAATCAGTAGATGTCTTCTCTTGCTCTTCTCATAGAACAGTGGGAAGACGCTGGTTTCACATCGGCACAGCTGTAGTTAATGTCATGCAAGGAGGTGAATTCTATCTGAGAGAGTAAAGAGACATGAGCATGTTTAAAATACATGGGCTGGCACCCTGCCACAGGAGAAAGCTCATTGAATAAAACTGCTGAAGACAAATACGTACAAGCCTGTGCCAGGTGCTCTCCTTCTTGTGGCACGTGTTGGACTTGCTGGGAAAGATCTTTTGGAATTTCTGGGGAGGATCTGTTGACTGTGTGTCTTCTGTCCTTGTCACAAAATCTCCTTCCTGGGAGCTAGCCCTCTGTTGATGCTGACAGGTGAATGTGTGCTCTAATGGATTGCACGGCCTCCCTTTGCAGGACTGTGGGATGGAGCTGAACGACGAGGACGGGCATCGCTGTTACCCGCTAGATGAACACTTGCTTTGTCACTCCTGTCACCTGAAGCACATAGAGAACGGCACAACCCCCACGGCCGCATACCAGCAGCACTACTAGCCGGTGGCTGACATTGGAGAGCTGGGACAGGAGACTTGTGGTGTGACCTCCCTCTCCCCGCCCTCAGTTGATTTCCTGCACATGTTTTTATGCCAGTTGGCGATGTTCCTGTGAAAGGATGTGAGAGATTTTTGCTGGATTCCCAGAGTTTGTACGCGTGTGAGTTCCAGCTGCATCAAACCACGTCTGCTTGGCCAAGAATGTGGCATGTTATCTAAACTGATCACTTTACTTTCACATGCCTTTTTCTGCTGTCTGGAGATTCCTCTTGGCTTATTTTGAAAGGTTCTTCAGTGAAAGCACAATTTGTTGTCAGGCCTGTGAACTCGAATTGTGCCATGCACAACTAAAAAGCCAGAGGCTGGCTTCCCTACCTGTTGGCAATATCTTTCAGGCTACCGAGTGTTTCCTGGCAAGCACATTTCATCAGATTCCCTGAAGGGACATCAACCTATTAATATCATTTTTTTTTAGATACTCTCTTTTTATTAATCCTTTAGGAAAAGAAAAGGGTCTGTGCAAAATGTTTGGAAAGGAAGGGAGGGGATGCTCCAAGTGTGGACATGGGGGAAATCCATCATTCTTGCTTGGAGAACTTGATTTGGAAAAAAAAAAAGTTCTCTATACACAGACACTTGCCCGAGTTTTCCAGTTTGCCCCCACAGCTTGACCCCCAGCCTGGCCACTCCTTTCCATGGTGTTTACCCAGCACAAACCCATTTCGTAATGGTGCTTATTTAGAGCTCTGGGAACGAATTGAGAGCGTTAGGAAGGCTTTGTTATGCAGGGATTTAGAGCCCGGCTCCACAACCTGTACGATGAGTATGTTGGTATAAACAGATTTGCTCCTGTGAATAATAGCAGCTTGTCTGAGCAGGGGGTTACAGAGATTGGCCCTTACTTTCTGTTCTGCTGAGAAGGCAGAAAGGCAGAGAATGTCTCCTTTTTAACCCTGATTTATAGTCAAAGAACTCTGCTCCCTCATAATATGTGTTACATATGATAGCTGTGCCTGCGGTGCGTGTTCTATAGGTACCAAAGCTGTGCAGCCCCTCACATACAGGGACAAAGGTGTGGTTTTTTAATAAGAAAAATCTCTTTTAATAAGAAAAAGCCTCAGATGCAGTCAGAGACCTTAGCTACCTTTCCAATTTCCTTATGTATCTGTGCTAAAGATACATGTTTGGTGTTGGTGTTAGAGGATGGGATGAAGATTTTTGAGGAATTTTAGCATGGTGGAAAGCCTCCAGTGGCCTGTTTTGAGGCGAGCTGCCTGGCAGGAGCCACCTTTCCATCGCATGGCCTCTACTCCCACGGTGTCTTGTTACTCCTCTTGGCATCCCATGTCCCTCAGTGCTGGGGATAATGCAGGCTGCCCTACTTTCAGTTTTGAGGCCCCGTGTAAATTAAGTGCCAGCGCTCTCCTTTCCTATATTTACAAAGAGCTGGGAATGACAGTATTGTAGTTATTGAATATGGAGTGCATGAGCTTGTTCTGAAGCTGAAGCATTGCCCTGCTTCCCTGACCTATGCCAGCTTGTGCCGCTTTTCTCCTTGGGAATTTGAATTCATTTAAGTTCATTATTGTAAGGGGGGGGGAAAAAAAGATATTTTTTACACTGAGGGTGGTAAAACATTGGCCCAGGTTGCCCAGAGAGGTTATAGAAGCTCCATCCCTGGAAACATTCCAGGCTTTGCATCTTGTGTGGAAGAATTTCAGGAAACCTGAAATTTCAGGAATTTGAAAATTCACAAATTTGAAATTTCAGATTCTGCTTATCTCCTGGCTGATACACATAGGGGTTTGCTGTTCACATGAACCTTGTTGTCTTTTTATTTGTTAAGATGCTGAAACATGCTGTGAAAAGTTAGTCCTAATTCCTCCCTCCACATGCTCTCTGTCTAGTTTTGGGGTAAGGGACCCTTGGAAGTCCCGTCATGCTGATAAGGAGTAACTCTTATGCAAACATTTCTTCAAGTGAATTCCCTGAAGCTTGTTTTCAGGAACCAGAGCTTAATATTTTTGGTGTTTTGTTTTGGTTTTTTTGTTCAGATCATGCTGTTAAATTTCTGTTGTTTAGAATACAGAAATGTATTTAAATAGGAATTTTTGCGTAAAAGCTGGGGTAAAGCCCCAACTGTAGAAGTAGCAGACATTTTTGTGTAATTTACAGGTTAAGAAACACCTGTGATCAAAGTGATATAGAAAACTGCCCTGACATCAAATACAGGGAACAGCCTTTTCAAACACCCTGGCGGGGAGCATTTGATAAGGTCTGTGGCTGTTCAGCTTCTGGCTTTCATTTAGGGGCTTTTAAAACATTTTCCCAATCTTTCTGGGTTTAAATGATGAAATTTTTTGCAGATCCTTTTACTACCAAGTGAATAGCTCCTTGGTGTGGCGGTAGTGGAATTCCATCAGCATCAGGTGGGCTGTGGCAGCCTTGAAAGGGAGAAACTGGTAACGGTCTGGCTGGCCATTCAAATGGAGTAAGTTACCTTTGGTTGTGGAGAGGAAAAAAAAGTAAATATCTTCCTGTGCTTTCTCCTTGTGATGGTTTTTAGCAAGTATTTGGTATCCATGAATTTCAGTAGTCAGGTCTGTTTGTAAGCACTGCTGTGACTTCCACCACCTCTCTCCCATGAGTTCACAGCCCTGGGGAGAATTGCAGGCACACGCTTTCTCGTGAATTTAGTCCCTGTTTCGCACTTCCTTGGATATTTACCACTTTCTTGCTTCGGCAACAGCAGGCCCTTGCTGAAAAGAAAACTGACGCATGCTCTCCATCCTTACCTGACCCAATCCTCCAACTTACCTGAATCAGCCTGCTGCCGGTCGATGCTCCTGTTGCTGAGACAGATCACATGAAGCTCTCCGTCTGCACTGAACTGCGAGTGCAAGGTGCGGTGGTAGCCCACTAAGACAAGAGGAGAGACGGGAAGAACCCGTCTCCACATGAAAAGACGTGGTGTTGAGCCCCCAAAGCAGATGACAGGGATGACCATGGCTGGGCTGCGGTTCCCAGCCTGGCTGGCACCGACCCTCATCCCCGCGCAGCAGGTCTGCGGCACGCGGCCCGATGGGCATGTAGGTGCACACGTACACCCAAACACATGTACAGACTCTAGCTTTCTGCATCCAGAAAGCAATTCCAGGGCCTGGCTGATGATACTCAACGGTACTGATTCTTTTGTTTTATGTTTCCTTCAAAGCTTGACTCCGGGAGAGAGTGTTTTAGGACTCGTGCTGGTGTAGCTACAACCTTTGTCACCTGTGTACACGGCCTTCTTTTCTTCTGTGCTGTTAAATATTTATAAAGAATGGAGGCTGGCAGCAGGGGGTGAAGCCACAGGCCTGTTGTTGGTTTCAGTGATTAAAGACAACACTGTAAAGCAATGCTCAGCATCAAGTCGTTCCTAAACTCGTTATGATTGTCGGTTGCCCAGGGTCCCCGGGGCGGGAGTTACACTGTGAGATGATGGTTTTCTACTTCTGCCTTCCTCCTGTTCCCCTGCATTAGTGACGAAAGCAGGGACTGGCGGGGGGAACCTCCCTGGCGCTGTTCACTGCGAGGGCCTTTCGCAGGCGCCTGGCGTTTGCTGAAGCCCCATCGGAGGCCACCCTGCTCCGGCATCCCTCCGGGAGGAGCCGGGTGCCTGGCATGAGGAGCTGATGAAGGATGTGCTACCAGGGTGAGGATGTCCTTTGCAGAACTGGTGCTTCATTCGAGGCTTTTGGGAGCTGCTGTCTTGATGCTGAGGGCAGGAGGGTAGATCCGTGCAGGAGTGTGGGGCTGGCGGGGAGTGGAGGAGGTGCAGGCATCACCCTCGGGCTGGATTCCAAAACTGCGGGGTGGGGGGAAAAAGGGGGAAT